ATCTTTTCATCTCAAGCAAAACTTTATTTAAACTTTTATTTAGACACAAACAGCTTTAAGTTTCCATTCACACCTAATCTGATCCGACACGTTTCAGTCTGAATCCTGAAAGTCGTTAGAAGGATGAAACTATTTGAAGGTGCAATCGTCTGTACGAGTTTCACTGCAAAGAGTCGTGTAACAACAAGACATTTAGTCTGGAGAAAATCTGCTTCTTAAAGGTGTTCTTACTTAAAATAAATGTGCATGCACAGAAAATACTGATCCAGCTCAGTGAACAGATACATTTAAAGGGATAGTTTTCATTTTCTGAAGTGGGGCTGTACGACGTACTTATCCATAGATAGCATATTACCTACAGTAGATGTCAGTCAGCACGCCCACAGTTTGGACAAGCAGACTGGAGTCGGACACTAAAGCTAAACAACGTACTGCTGTGGACGGGGTCAGCAACAAAACATCTCTTACACACACAATAAAAGTCCAACCTAAAAGAAAACTACATAAGTTTATGCTATTTTCAGAGCCACCAGACTCCATTGACAAAAACAGCAATTTAAGCTTGTTGAACACAGGAGCTGCTGGTCTACTGCTGCCTCGATTAGTTACTCATTTTGTGTTACTGTGTGACTTTGGTGTGTGTGAACTAACCTTTTAAAAAGCCAAAGCCATCCAATAACACAAACAAACTAACAGATCGAGGCAGCAGCTCCTGTGTTCAGCAATGTTAAATCGCTGTTTTTCTCAATGGAGTCTGGCTTTGACCAGAGCAATGTAACGGCTTAATTTTCCCATTGGAAATCACTGTGTGACATTAAGATAAAGCAGTGAAAATATTCTAAATATAGCATAAACTTAAACTGACATTGATTTTATTAGGCAGGACTTTTTTAGGTGGCTAAAAAAGTTTTGTGGCTGACCCCTCCACAGCAGTACATCACTTAGCTTCCACGTCAGACTCTGTCTGCTTCTCCAAACTTGGGGCGTGCTGACTGACATCTACTGCATGTATAAACTATCTGTGCATAAGTAAACCACAAAACCCCACTTCAAAAAATGTGAAGCATCCCTTTAAGGGTTTTCTACTTACATTAAATACAAATACACATAATTAATTTCTAAAAAAGGGGGTAAAGTGAAGAAATGAAAAGAAGGAAAGAGAAAAGAAAGGACTGAATCCGTCTCTGTTGGTCTTAAAAATATCTTGATTACAGAAAGCTGACTTGTTGTGGAAGCTGCAAAACGTATTTCAGATCAATGAGATTTTACGGCTCATAAAGACGTAACGACCTGTTAAAAGGTTAAATATCTGCAGTACTTAATAAAGCTGGAACTTGTGACCGAATCAAACTTTCTGCTCACAACATGAACATAAGATCTGCTCACACACACATCAACACTCAGTGCTTCACTGTCAGACTGCATTTCAACAACAGGACAAAAAACAAACCGATCAAATCTATTTTCCATCCTGACTTTAACTTCAGTAACATTTTCATCCAACATGGCTGCACCCTCGTCTTTAATCACCTCACCACACAGACACACATTTATCTGCTCGCTCCCAAAGTTTGAATCTCTGACTGAAATCTCATCGGCTGCCGGCGCCGACAGGAACCATCTCAGACATCTCAGAATTAAGGTTTGAACTTTCTCCTCGACATGATGAATCCAACAGTGCAGCACAGAGACAAGAAACCACAGACACTGAAGCACCGACACGTCACTGACCTGCAGGGGGCAGCAGTGACACTTAACACCACTTTCTGTTGTGACTGTCGTTCCTACGTCGCCGTCACCACCAACACCATCAGCTGTGCTCCCACTCTGACCCTCAACAGTCCCAAGTTTCAGTCCAACTTCAGGCACATTATTAATTTCATTATCAATCACAATCTTTTTTACTGTCTCGTATCTGCAGAGGCGTTAAAGCTAAAATCCATCCCATAATCTCCTCCTGGGTTTCCTCCACAGACCTCAGTGTCTCTCTGAATTCACTTGGATGTTGCAGACTTTTTATTAACTGGTAACTCAAACTGATTTCCAAAACTCTCCAGACCTGCAATATGACCCCTAATAAGACAGGAAGTGCATTTTCAAAATAATGGCACCGCCGGCAGTCAGTGTAACATTTACTTTCCTGTTTACAAACAATAATTTTTCTTAATCAATAAAAATAGAAAACAGGACGACTGAATTCAGCTTCTATTTTTTTTTGTAGTTTTTTTGTTTGTCAGATTGATGAAAAATTAAAATAAATAACTTTTTTTTTTTTGCTTTTTTCCTTCTCAATTTGCCTCAATTTCATCTCAAAAACAAAGACAGCTGTTTAACCCTGACCGCAAACTGGCTTGATTTCTTTCAAAAACATGGGAAGAAAGAAGTGAGCAACGAAAGAAGAAATGACCCAAAAAAATCTGCAAGAAATTAATAAAAAGAGAAAATTAAAAACAAGAAAATTAGTTTACAAAAAATGAAACAAACAAATAAATGACCTGGAAAAACTGCTTAAAAATTATAGTAATTCTGTAACATAATTTTAAACATGAAGAAGTAATAATTATAATTTTTCCTTTGCTTTTTTCTTTTTTCCCTATTTTTAAAAAATATTTTTCTTTATCTATTAATTTCTTTCCATGTTGCTCGTTGACTTTCTCCCCATGTTTCTGAAAGAAATTGCATCAGTTTGCTCGAAGGGTTAAATGGCTTAAATAAATATAATAGGAAATTTATTTTAACTGGTAGATATACCTCTGACTTTTGCTGTTGTTAACAAATCTATTTAATAAATTAATTTGTTAAGCATGTTACAAGACATCATGGGAGGTTTGACAGTAATTTACTTCCTCACTTCTGGAAGAGGCGTTTAGATGATCAAAAACCATCCTGCTGACATCCCTCATTAATTCTGTTGTTTATAATCTGACATAAAATTTTAATAAATCTTTGGTTAATTTTTCAGTTGATCTTTTGTTTGTCGAGGACGTGTCATTTGAAAGGACACTGTGTGTTATCAGGGATGTGCATTTTATGACATTCGATACTAGGACAGAGTGTTTGCCGTCAGGGCCCCGAGGCTCTGAGACGACCCGCCCAAAGGGAAATATAAAAGACGGAAAGGTCATGACGTCAGTGACGGCACTCGAGGAGCCAGAGTTTGGTGTCAGCTCTCCATATCTTTGTTGTTTTAACTTTGACTGATCCAACAGATTTAAAAACACACATCACATGATGTCGACTGACGTTTATATCTAAATGTACCCATTTATTTTCCTTGCTTTTGATCTCCAAACAGATGTTTCTGTCCATCAGCTGCGTATAACTCAACTCAAGCTTCTCGTTGGTCCAAGGTAGCTAAATGCTAGCTGCTGTTAGCAGGTACGTGTATTTGTTATCAATAACTAACTAAACATTAAACTGTTAATGATATTAAACAACATTCAGGAGGGCTGACATTAGATAATGTTTCCTATTGTTGTCAGGAGCTGGTGCTAATCATCAAATTCTCATAACACCGGTGCGTGTTACTTTGTTCATCAATGATCTGAGTTAGCATTTGCACTTTGTTTAGCTAACGTTAGCGAGCTACATCTCTGTGGAGTCGCCCTACGTTAATCTGAACTGTAAATGAAGGTGTAAGAGAAACGGACAGAGAGCTGCGGTGATGTTTCAGCCTCACAAGCTTCATCGCTGTCGTGACTCTTGCGTGTGCAACTAATTAATGTTTGATGACTAACGTTAGCAGGAATGTAAATCACTGAGGCAAACTGCGAGGCGTTACAGCCTCCGGTCAAGTCCTGGTTTAGCAGATATTTACCAAACTGACAGGTGACATCATGAAGTCCAGTTAGAATAATAATCACAGCCATTAAGAACTGATGTGGTTCTAACTGCAGTCTGGTCCTGGTAACAGGTCGGACCTGCTCTGTTTGTTCATGTATCACGATGTAATGTTATGATGTAATGTTCGCTACCCTGAACCAAACATGGACTGAGGACAGAGCGGTGATCTGTTTGGAGATCAATAACACGGGAGACAAACGCATATTTAAATAAAAAACATCAGCTGATGACATCACGTGGAAGGAGTTTTCAGTCAGGGTTGAAACAACAAAGACGTGACGGTTCACAGTGATTTGACGTGCTCGCCCCTGTGATCCCGAAAGAGCTGACACCAAACACTGTCATGACCTTTGCTTTTATAGTTTGCCCGAGGGAATAAGGTTCGGATGAGTCAGCGATCACTTTCAAATCCTTTCTTGTCTTCTTTATCAGAGAACTTTGTATTAAAGATCTACTTTCCTTTGAACTGACATTTATCACTGCGGTTTGAGGGTTTTCTTTTAAAAACTGTTTTTATGACTTGTTTTTTTTTGTTGTTGTTGTTGCCGCCTTGTAAAAACACTTCATAACTCTGCTTTAAACAGTGCTTTATAAAAACAGATTATCATTATTACTGGTTCACTTTAAAATAAGTGTCTTTCTCCTCTTTGTTTTATCCGAATAATATTATGATTTATGATCATGTTTACTGAAGAATAAACATCATGTTCTGATTTAATCTTTATAAAAATCCTGTTAATGATCTTGCGACCCTGACTGGGGGTCCCGCCACCAGGTTGGGATATTTGTCAGTAACCTCTCAGTCGACAGACGAAACAAAAACTACTCTGATTTTCTATTTGTCAATTTTGAATTTTAAATCAAACGGTCCAAAATGTAGAATTTGTTTTACAGATATTATTGTATATAAAAAATATAATTTTAGAAACTTGACTTCAGTTTTCCAGAATTCTATAATCAATGATTCAAATATAAAATTAAAGGGACATTTCAACAAAAGCCTCTCGTTGCACAGACACCAGGAAATTCTGAACTCTTCCACAACGTTACAGAAACAAACTAAAGACGGAGCTGCGGCTGACGACCGTATTTCCAACCGGTGGGTTTGGGGATGGGGGAAGGGGGGATGGGAGTGGGGGGAGGGGCACCAGACAACATTTCATAACGACATGTTTTTACTATAAATGCTCACACAAACACATGCAGCTAATTTTACAAGCTGTTGTTCAAAAACTCATTTCAGGCGTCAAACTTCTACAAGCTGATTTTTTTTTTCTTTCTCGTCTTAAATATACTGTGTTTATTTATTTAAAGATATTATCTGAGAAATTATGTACATACAGATTTAGACCACTTTGGATTAAAAAATAAAACTTCTTTATAGTCAGAATAATATTAATAATAATCATTTTTTACCTTTTGTTACATAAAAATATGTTGCTATGCTCCGGCCCTGGGCGGGGCTGAAAGCACAGGTGCAGCAAGTGCAGGTAGAGAGGGGGGCGGGGCTAAAGGCTGTCAATCACAGTGACTGGGGTTAAAGGGCAATCCCGCCAAAAAATTGCATTGGGGTCGCAGTTGGTATAAAGTTCACATCACATCATCGGAGGAAGATTTTAAATTAAAGTTCAACATCTTGTTTTCTGTTTTATACTTTCAAATGTCTGAGCAAGGCACAGGAAGTGACACCCCTTCAAAATATAACTGCTCACCTGGCTGCAGTGATGAACAGGTGTGCTCCAGGACACAGTGACATCACTGCTGGGTTTGATTACAGGTGCAATAAAAACTGCAGCTAGGGGTTGTTTTTATTATCAACCAATCTCCCGTCTAATTGATTAAACGTTTGGTTTATAAATTGTGAAGAATTTTCTACGACGTTTGGTCATCTCCGACAGTCCGAACCCAAAATCGTTACGTTACAATGATCAGAAAATTCTCATGATTAAGAAGCTCAAATAGAAAAACTCTAGCAAATATTTCTGCAAGAAAAAAATATGATAATCGACTAATTTCAGCCCTTTAAACAAAAACAAACAAAAAAAAAGCTTAATATTCTTCTATGTGAGCTTCTCAAATGTGAACTTTTTCTGTTTTTCTTTGTTTAATGATGCTATGAACTGGTTGTTTTTCTTTTTACTCATTTAAACTTTATTTGGACTTTTGGTCGGACAAAAAAACAAAACTACTACTATTTTTCTCCATCATCTGACAAGTTTTAGACTAAATTATTAATCAGTTAATTTGGAAAATAATTGGCAGATTGATTGATAATAGAAATAGTTACAGCCCTTGAGTAACGACCTTTTGGCACTTTGGGGTACTTTGTGGGAAAATGCCTGTTAACATATATAAAATATCAACATAAACATTGGTGGAATTGCCCTTTAAGAAGTTGACCTGAAAGGGCGATAAAGCTGAAGCCTGAGGGGCGACTGTAGCTGTCATACGAACATTTCAGCGGGAAGAAGATGCAGATTTGTGAGCTCAGGGTTCCTGCACATCAACACTAATCTGTGTATTAATATTTTGTCGTGTTCGTAAATTTGTCACTGAAAGAAATCTCTGTGTGATTTCGGTTTCTTTGCCTGAGGTGTACAGAATCCCTGCTTCCCATCTGCTATTCTTTCATTCACCCTCACATTCAGTTTCATCATTTAAATGCATAATCTTCTATTAAAAAAGCAGCCAAGTTTCACACACGACTACAGGCAAGTGCATCTGATGCATTGTCAGCGCGTTCTTCTTTAGCAAGACACTAATGTTTTCTCTGTTAGAGGGAATGTGGACGAGAGTGAAGTCTGAAACGTGATGCTGCCAAAGGTGTTTGTCTCTGAATCTTTGAGACATCTGTGAAGATTTAACTGGAATCCATCCAAACATGTGACTCCGAGAACAACAGGATGTACTCCCTCTTATTGCACACGCTGTGATGTGGTGTGTTCATACAGTGTGTCGCATTCTGTCAGACGCAGCAGCGTGTTTCAGACTTCAGACTGCGGCTCAGTAAAATAAAGTCTTAACAGTGACACTCGTGTAGCTGGCAGTGATGTAGCAACTAAAAGACAAACTGATTATCTGTGATCAGACAGGACGCTTTTGTTTCTCATTTCTCGTGTGCTGAAGGCTTCAAGTGTGAGTCGCTCTGAATTAAAGTGTCGGACACAAATGTAACGCAGTGAGTTTTGGTGGTTCCTGGTGGGAAATGATGATGATTCCCAACCTTTTTGTCTTGAGAAATGTCTCCCTGTGACAAAAATATGAAGAGAGATCTACAATTTAACAATAATAAATTGGTCAGAAAAATAAACGTGTAACAAAGATATATATTTTTTCTCCATCTTGTGACACTTCAGATTCTTTTTGAGACTCTGCTCAAAGTTATTAACAATTATTGATGCAGACACATTCTGATAAATAGATTTCAACTTGTAGCAGAAAGAAGACAAACTCTTCAACCAAATTGAGTTTGGTTTTATCTGTGTCTTCTCACACTAAAACTGATGTTAATGTCAAAAACAAAAACAAACAAGACATTCATGGACGTCTCTTCTTGCTGAAGAACAGAAGGGGAGTCACCAGATTTCTGTGACTTGCTGATAAAGCCGATAAGCTGATTATTTTACCATCTCTCTGTAGATGAACGGTCGTAAAGAAGAAAGTATACAAAAGTATAATTGTGAATATAAATGTGATTCCACATGTGACGAAAAGTTTTTTTTTGATTTACGTCCTGAACAGCAGATTAGTCAATTTCACAACTCACAAAGAAAAATTTCAGCGTTTTGAGGACAGCGTCCTGTGTGATCACGGGATAATTTCATGGGTATAAAGCTGCTCTAATTGGACACAAATCAGGGGCATCACGATGATTATATGACTTGAAAAGAAGCAGCATATCAGGGGCTTTAAGCACTGAACGCACTCCTGAGAGGGCTTCATCCAAAACCTTTAACCTGCTTTTAATTAACTGAATATAAATTCTTTTGACCAGTTTGGTTTAAGTAGAATCTCACAACCTCTTTCAGGCTGTTAAACTGACATCTGTGACTGTCGGAGCAAGAAACATATTATTTCAAAAATATATAGAGCTCTAGGTCATGGCTGAGTTCCTGTCAAAGTGGCTGATAAAGCAGAGAAAGCCAAACATCAACTGTATTGGCCTCTGGCTGGTTCCTAACCTAAAGAGTTCTGGGGTAAAATCATCCGAACCAATCACACATCTTGTTTCCTGTCGAGAACATGGCTGCCGGGTGGAGCAGAGACCAGTCAGAGAGCTCTGCCGTGGGGAAGATCCACGCGTATCTGGATGCAAAATTCTTTTCAAGATCTTCCAAGCGTTGCTGGTTTTTACAGACGGTTTCTTTACATAAAGCCGACGTCACGTGAGCGGTTTATTCCTGCGTGTTTGCATTTACGCGAGTGCATTTTTCATTAACATGCAGATAAGACTCGTACAAGCTAATGCCTAAAAAGAGAAGCATCTGTTTTTTTTTTTCTTGACTTCAAGCATTGCAAGAGCGTTTTCAGTTAAGTGCCTTCGACGGAAAACTCCCCCCTCCTTCAGTTCATCACGACCCGGACAGAAATCTCTTCTCACCGAGACTCCCGCAGGTTCCCGAGTTACTTCCACGCCTCGCTCTGCAGACTGTCTTGTGGGGGGAGCGGTGAGTGGGCGGCGGAGCGGCGCAGATCCCAGTCTCTCCACCTCCATCAGGGTGGCCCTCTCCTTCACCGACTCCCTCCGAGCTCCTGGAGCGCGGGGGGGTTGCGGGGTCACTTCAGCCGGTCAGATCGGAAGGAGTCCTCCACAGCCGGGTCGGCGAGCATCAAGTCGCCGTCCAACATGTCCAGAGCCAGGGGGTCCATCCTGAGGGGGTCGTCCAGGGAGAAGGGATCCATCTCAAAGCCAGGGACGTGGGACAGAGCGCTGGCAATCTCTTTAGACAAACCCGGCGGGGAGTCGCCTGCAGGGAGGGAGGGACAGCGGACATGTTAGACTTTCAGGAAATAAAACCTGAAAGAAAACTACAGAACACCTGACTTGTTAATCATCTTCTTCTCAACTCTTAACAACAACTCAACTTCCCCAAACATCAGTGTTCAGAAATATTTAAATGGACCCAATAATCAAATAAATTCTTTAAGATATACTCTGCGGGATTTTCCTAAAATACAATGTACAGACTCAGAATCAGAAGTGTGCTGTGGTGTATTTTTCTGCAGAAACTCCACCCTCTGACTTCTTACTTTCTGTGCTCGGGATGTTTATGGGCGTGTACCCCTGCAGCGCTCGGGTGAGGTCAGCCGTTTATAAAAAGGTAGTGACCAGAGAGCAGCAGCGAAGAGGACACAGCACTGAAAAATCACAGATAGAGAGCGACAAAAAGCTTCATCTGAAACAAGGGTGGATCTGGGGCTGGCTTTCGCTTTCACTGGTCAGCACAAAAGGAGAGGAAGAAGAGCCAAGTGGAGTTGGCCTGTTTCCTGTTGGACAGGTAGATGTCGGCACTTAGCCGCTAAAAACCTCCTGAACAATGAACACTGAAGGAATTCTAACCAGAAGAAGTTTCAACTGACTGCAATCTGCAATCCTCACCGCTAGATAACATTAAATCCCCCCCAAATCTTACACACTGAACCTTTAAACTTAAGCAAAAATAAATTGTGAGTATTGTAACAACCAAAATGTGAGGTCACATTCATAATTTTCTTATTCTCTGATCAGTTAATTCCTGGTTTAAATCAAGATTTTACACTGAACTTGATGATAAACTATAGTCATTTTTACTCAACATGGACAGAGTGTCATGCTGCAGAAGTGATCAGACAGCTGTCAGCCAATCTGCAGTGTTAGAGATGCGCATCATTATACGCGCCCATTTTTCACTACGAAGTTTGTGCTGAGGTGAGTGAAAGTGAGGAGCAAAGTGGGGGTGACAAACATCCTCACAAACAGACAGAATTGTGGATAAAAAAAGGTTACACAGCGTCAATAATTTGGAAGTGGTTTGGCCACTCGAAAGGTGACGACAGACGGACAAAAATGGTCTGCGAGATATGTCATCTGTTGGTGCCAACCAGGACGGGAAACACAACAAACATTTTCCATCACCTGAAAAGGTGGCGTCCCAGCGACTACACTGAGAGCATGAAAATCTGCCCAAAGCTGCAGTAAGTCCACCAACAAGTGTTGCTTAAAGGCCGAGCACTTCTGCTGCTGTGGGCAGCGCTAACGGGGCCGCACCAAAACAGCAATCAATAGTGTCCTCTTTTGCAGAAAAGGAAAAAGGAGCAGACACAGCCGAAGACATGATGCCCATGAGCACCGTGGAGAAAGACAGGTTCAGGAAATTAATTAAAGACTCAGAATCAGGATACTTCTCAGACTCACAGCATTATCAAATTATATATCGTGATAAATATCTTTATCGATCAATACAGGGAAATTTATCGTGATGGTATGTTTTGCCATATCGCCCATCCCATTCTGGTCTCATAAACACCAGTCGACACCCACCAGTGAGGATGATGTTGGGCACGTTGTGTCGTCCGTCCCCACTGCCGTAGTTCTGGTTCTGGTTGTTGAGGAGCTGCTGGTCTCCGGGATCCTGCAGGTCCAGGTGCCCCTGCATGTTGGAGGGGTACTGGTTCTTGTCGGTGCTGCTGCAGCTCAGACCGCTGTGGTTCAGAGACAGACCGTCACCCTGGTTCTCTGCTGTGAACTGAAGCAGAAGAAAAAAGTTTTAATGCCGAAAACACATGATGTGGGTTTTACTGAATATTTTATATCCAAATGTCATGTTTTGTCTGTATTTATGTTTTACTTGATGACCAACAAGATAGTAACAAAGTGATACAAGTGACTGAGAGGGAGCAGAAATCTTAGTCAGTATTGTCAGTAAATCTGCGGCAGCACTACCTACCTACCTACCTACCTACCTACCTATCCATCATCTATCCATCTATCCACCTACCTGGCTACCTACCTACATATCTATCATCTATCCAACTACCTAGCTACCCAGTGGCAGTGGTACCTACCTACCTACCTACCCACCCATCTATCTATCCATCCACCTACGTATCTATCTATCTATCTATCTATCTATCTATCTATCTATCTATCTATCTATCTATCTATGTATCTATCTATCTATCTATCTATCTATCTACCCATCTACCCATCTATTCACCTACCTACCTACCCCTTTGTCTATCTACCTTTCTATCTATTCACCTACCTACTTTCCTACCTATCTACCTACCCATCCATCCATCTATCTACCTATCTACCCATCTATCCATCCACCTACGTACCTACCTATCTACCATTCTATCTCTTCACCTACCTACCTACCTACCTACCTACCCATTCATCTACCTATCTACCCATCTATCTACCTTTCTATCTACTCACCTACCAGCTACCCATCCATCCATCTACCTATCTGCCTATGTATCTACCTACTTATCCATCCATCAATCCACCCATCCATCCATCTTTCTACCTATCCATCTACCTACCTGTCTGCCTGCCTACCTATCCACCCACCCATCTACCCACCCACCCATCCATCCATCCATCCATCCATCCATCCATCACAGGACAGCCACGCTACAAACATATGATGATCTTATATGAATATGATCATGATTAACTGCTGTAGAATAAACTACCCAACAGTTTATAAAGAAGGGTTCTAACGGTATGAGATTCTCACAGTATGATAACTGTCTCAGAAAATATTGCGGTACCACAACATTATTATCATCATCAGTCAGAAAGACCCTTAAAAGAATGAAATCTGAAGGGTTATGTTTGGCTGCAGGGATGATTTATTACTTTAATTGTATCTTGAAACTATTTTTTTTTTTGAAGGTTTGTGTAAAAAGTCTTCCATTTGAAAATGACTAAAATATAGTTGAGAATTTCCTTCAAGTGGCATTTTTCCAATATTGTAGATAAAGAAATGAACATGGTATATTAATCGTCAATTTTCATGTCACTTTATACCTTAAAACTGGTATATTGCTGCAACCCTGATATAAAAGCAGGGAACACTTTACTGCAACACACACATACTTTAACTACTTTAAGTACATGTTGCTGATAACATACTTTCACTTGCATAAAGTCTGAATGCAGGACTTTAACTTGAAGTGGAGTTTATTCACAGTGTGGTGTTAGTACTTTAACTGCAGAAGAGGATCCACTGGTCTGTGGAGTTAGATTTATATCATCATCAGTGACACACACTGTTCGGCGCATGGTAACAAAAATATTCCAGATACAAACCCACAAATGGTCTGGACTTGATTAGATGAACAAATTCACAAGACAGATCAAGGAAGTGAGACAAAGGCTCCAGTATAAAGCTTGGTAATTATCTTGTGTGGGACTATCCAAATAACTTGGGGCAGACTAAAGCCACGTAAAGTCTGAGAGTAAACCCTGACTGAGCCACTCTAAACTCTACAGGAAGCCAGCAGAGCTCCGGATAAGCCAAGCCTCGCTGATGCCAGAACATCTGTGAGACAAACTCAAACGTCTCTCCTTCTGCAGCTTTAAGGGCCCTCATGTCTGCACGTCAAATAGTCAAGAGGGTGCATCTCCTGTTGTTTTGGTGCATGAACACAGACAAAAGTGAGAGAAGGAAAAACTCCGCTCTCATCCAGGTGTTTCATTCCAGAGTTGGCATTCTGTGTGAAGGTGAGACCAGTTGTATCTAGTTAGTAACACTCTCCTCACACATTACAACACACATAACGGCAGCGTTTCCCCTACATCAGCTCTCCTGGCAGTGCGGCGCGTGGATGGATGTGTACACATTTCAAATTAAATAACAGCTAATTCGTCAAGAAGCTGCGGCACATCCTGTGCTTCTCTGGTGGTCCATGGGCAGTGGATGATGTTCCTGGGGGCTGTACACATGCTTTGTTTTTGTGCCCTTAAATGCAATGTTCTCAGCAGTAACGCTCAAACCCCAGAGTGATGCCATCGCAGCGTTCACATGTTCCTGAGCGCATCTTTTTATTCTTTTTTAAAGTGCTTCTTAAAACTTATCTGTTCAAAAAAGCCTTTTATTAATTTCAGCACACTGCCATTTTATATATGTCTCCTTTGATTATTTTTTATTGTTTTCATCTAGTGTTGTCGGCGGTTTTGTATTCCTTTATTTTGTATTACTCCCATTGTTTGACATTGCTGTACCTCAGTGCAACCTACAGGGCAATTAGTCACCGACTTCACTTATCTGCTCAGTGATGGTATTTTACCTTTATCTTATTTTTTGTTCTTTGTATTTTCTTAAAATTGTCTCATTTTATTTGCTTGAATTCTGCATTATTTTAAATCTGGGATCAACCATATAAAGAACTTTTCAGGGTGCAACGGCTGCGCCCACAGATAAACAGAGTTCAACTTTTTAGAATGCAGCAGTGCGCACCGCATGCCATGTGATGAGGAACAACCAATCATAGCTGACATATCTTTCGCTTTATCGATAAATATCAGTCCACGAAAAATATGTAGGGATGCACCGAATATTCGGCCACCGAATATATTCGGCCAAATATTGCAAAAAAACACACATTCGGTATACGGTGGATTAAGTTAAAAGCAAGGCCGAATAATAGCGGCGTGTTTTGATAATGCAATCAAACAGCGTGCCGTGACGGGTGGAATAAAATGTCGGCAGTGTGGAGATCCGTCCGTCACCGCACTCGCATTTGCGACTAAAAATAGTTTTGAGCGAGCAAAATAGGCTTAAATCATTCAGCACGCTGTGTGAGCAGCCTACAGATTTCAACCAGCAGCAGAAACGAAAGGCGAATCCCACCGATTGTGGGTAGAACGGGGGTCACAGACAGTAATGTATTCCTGTCAAATACGGCGGCCATTGGCTTACCGGCGACGGAGAAGTCGGCTCCAATAGCCTAATATCCTCTTCTTGGTGTCATGACTGCCCAGTAGTACCTGAACAGCCGAGCCAACCTAACACAGGTATGTGACGTGTCAGAGGAGAAACGAGCTGTTCACATTTCTGTCTTTGTGTCAGGTAACAGCCCACAAACCTCACCGCACTTTAGGGACTGTTCTTTACTTGTCAGGGGAGGAGGGTGGCTGGTTGATTTTTATTTAATTTATTTATTTTATTTTGATCCCCCCTATGTTAATCACTTATTGATGCTGTTTTTGAAGTATGAATAAGTCAATAAGTAATTTATTACATTGAAATATCATTGATGTATTATAGAAAAGTGATTTATCTTTTCATAAATGACAAAAGGCACATCTGCCTAATTTTTGCTGTGGTATCGTGATACTACTCAGAACCATGGTATTTTCATTGGTATTGCACAGTGGGTCCCAATTTTGGTACCGTGACAACACTAATCTGGAGGGTTCATCTGCAAAAACTAATGAAAAACTAAACAACAATATTCGGTATTCGGTACTCGGTATTCGGCCAAGCGTTTTAATATTATTTGGCTTCGGCCACAAATTTTCATTTCGGTGCATCCCTAAAAATATAGAGGAGAAAATTGATCATTTTAGTGCAAAGCTGCCAGAGCTTTACATCTAAGTCTCCACAGAAAACAGCGAACATATTGATTTACCGGAGACCATGTTTAACAACAGCAAAACTACACTGAACAAAAATATAAACGCAACACTTTTGTTTTTGCTCCCATTTTTCATGAGCTGAACTCAAAGATCTAAAACATTTTCTATACACACAAAAGACCATTTCTCACAAATATTGTTCACAAATCTGTCTGTCTATCTGTGTTAGTGAGCACTTCTCCTTTGCCGAGATAATCCATCCCACCTCACAGGTGTGGCATATCAAGATGCTGATTAGACAGCATGAATATTGCACAGGTGTGCCTTAGGCTGGCCACAATAAAAAGGCCACTCTGAAATGTGCAGTTTTGCTTTATTGGGGGGGTCTGGGTCCACTCCTCTTCAATGGCTGTGCAAAGTTGCTGGATATTGGCAAGAACTGGAACACGCTGTCGTATACGCCGATCCAGAGCATCCAAAACATGCTCAATGGGTGACATGTCCGGTGAGTATGCTGGCCATGCAAGAACTGGGATGTTCTCAGCTTCCAGGAATTGTGTACAGATCCTTGCAACATGGGGCCGTGCATTATCATGCTGCAACATGAGGTGATGGTCGTGGACGAATGGCACAACAATGGGCCTCAGGATCTCGTCACGATATCTCTGTGCATTCAAAATGCCATCAATAAAATGCACCTGTGTTCGTTGTCCATAATATTCGCCTGCCCATACCATAACCCCACCACCACCATGGGCCACTCGATCCACAGCGTTGACATCAGCAAACCACTCACCCACACGACGCCACACATGCTGTCTGCCATCTGCCCTGAACAGTGAAAACCGGGATTCATCCGTGAAGAGAACACCTCTCCAACGTGCCAGACGCCATCGAATGTGAGCATTTGCCCACTCAAGTCGGTTAGGACGACGAACTGAAGTCAGGTCGAGACCCTGATGAGGACAACGAGCATGCAGATGAGCTTCCCTGAGACGGTTTCTGACAGTTCGTGCAGAAATTCTTTGGTTATGCAAACCAATTGTTGCAGCAGCTGTCCGGGTGGCTGGTCTCAGACGATCTTGGAGGTGAACATACTGGATGTGGAGGTCCTGGGCTGGTGTGGTTACACGTGGTCTGCGGTTGTGAGGCCAGTTGGATGTACTGCCAAATTGTCTGAAACGCCTTTGGAGACGGCTTATGGTAGAGAAATGAACATTCAATTCACGGGCAACAGCTCTGGTGGACATTCCTGCAGTCAGCATGCCAATTGCACGCTCCCTCAAAACTTGCGACATCTGTGGCATTTCGCTGTGTGATAAAACTGAACATTTTAGAGTGGCCTTTTATTGTGGCCAGCCTAAGGCACACCTGTGCAATATTCACGCTGTCTAATCAGCATCTTGATATGCCACACCTGTGAGGTGGGATGGATTATCTCGGCAAAGGAGAAGTGCTCACTAACACAGATTTAGACAGATTTGTGAAAAATATTTGTGAGAAATGGTCTTTTGTGTGTATAGAAAATGTTTTAGATCTTTGAGTTCAGCTCATGAAAAATGAGAGCAAAAACAAAAGTGTTGCGTTATATTTTTGTTCAGTGTATATCAAACATGAGGGAGCACATGAGGAGAAACATGCAGCTAATGAGTCAGACCGGTGACGTTGTGATTCATGGTCAGTGCCTCGACCCCAAAGCCACCAGACTTTTAAAACCAAGAAAAACCACCAATGAAGAGAAAATGACAAATTTTCAGACTGGCTCTGCCCTCAACTGTAAACACAACCAGCTGGGTTTACAATGATCAGCTCAGACACCAGCGAGTGACATCATGCTCCCCTCAGGCACTGTTATTCACAGTTTATAATGACATCATGAGAATGTGCACCTCAGTTACCTGCTGGTTGGATTTGCCCGAAAGCTGCAGACTCAGATATGGGTCGTCCAGAAGAGAGTTGAACAAGGCATCCTGGAAAACATTGAAATAAGATCTTGGTTACACTGAGGGATGGATCTAACTGTAGACAGTCACTCAACTGGCCCCATCCTTAAATATGCGGAACTTTAGGCCTTCATAAAATGTAAACGGGTGATATGTATATAAAAATGTACCCTGTACAGTTGTCATGAATGTTGAGACCAAAACCATTTTTGAATCAGGAAATAAACATGTTTATTTTTGCTGTTAAGTTGGGCATTTAAACATGGAGGTCTATGGGGATTGACTCTGTTTTGGAGCCAGCCTCAAGTAGCAACAAGAGGAACTGCAGTTTTTTGGCACTTCCACATTGGCTTCGTTTCATAGCCTCAGAGGCTGCCACTGAAAAATGGCAACTAAATTTCAAGAACAGAGTTAAAGGCTTGATATTTTCACTGTGGTTGATGGCAGTACATGAAATCTGCTGTGTGACCACGACTTGATTATTAGTTTAAGTTTTATCAGAATATTCCTTTATTTAGAGAGTAAACACAGCAAAAAAATGGACAAACTAAAGTCGTTGCAGTTTCTGTTCAGTTTCCTTCCTCTCTCTTTTGTGCCCCTACCTCTGGCTCATTTTCTCAGGATTAATGGACGGAGTTAGATTGCACCTGAAACAAAACATGCATCATGTAACAACCCACAAACAGACTGAGTCCTGTAATAGGAGATCTTGTTTGAACTGCATGAAGAGTGAGTGTGAAGAGAGGGGTTTAGTTTGCCAGTTGGGAAATAGATTCCCTCTGATGTAATAAACATGTTAACTCTTTTTAGATTAAAAAATGACAAAAGATTAAATCACAATATTGTATAAGGAAACTCTTCAACAGTCTCTAATCTGTGTGTTTAAATGGCTCGTGCAGCAACTTGCAGGTAAATCTCTGAGGCTGCAGCGTTAGAAGCCAGAATGCCTCCTGGTGTCTGTTTGCTGAATGGGTGATCAGATATCTCAGTACACAATGACTTCCACTCAGCGGACCTCTAAAAATAGCATCAGGTGCTTTTTCTCAGCATTACATCACACACAGTGAACACGACACCTCTGATCCTGACAGATGAGGTCATGCATCCTTCATATCTGCGCCTGTTAATTAATGTCTGTTTAAAATGGGATGAAAACACTTTATTTGTTTCTATTTTTGCAGCAGTTGTGAAATTCAGACTCTAGCACATGTGCTCATGTAACTAAGTGGCGCCCACAAACACAGAGTAGTGTGAATAATTTGTATGACATCTATGACGTCAGTACTTTCGGAGAAAAACTAGAATTACTGCCTCGCGGTTGTATGCCTCTGTGGACCAGTCAAGTTGCAGTTAAAATCCATGTTGCTGCTGCAAAGAAGCTATAAATTCTAAAACATGGACGCTTTGCACACAGAAGATCTATACAATCAGCACAGTTTCAAGATTAGAGTCACCAATTCACAATCTGACCAAATGTCTCCCCTTCTGTTCCTGAGATATGACACGGAATAATGGCCAGAAAAGGGTTTTTGAAGAACATTAAGATGTCACAGTGAAGTTGACCTTTGACCTTTTAATATAAAATATCATCACTTCATTATTTTATCTTGTTAGACATTTGTTTGAAATTTTGTCATGAAATGTTTGTCACAAACCAGGTCACAGTGACTTTAACCTTTGACCAACAAAATCTAATCGTTTAACTTTGAGTCCAAGAGGCTGTTTGTGCCAAATTTGAGGAAATTCCCTCAAAGCCTTCTTGAGATATAGTGTTCACAAGAATGGGACAGAGGCAAGGTCACAGTGACACTGACCTTTGGCCATTTACCACAAAATTCTGATCCGTTCATTGTTAAATCCAAGTGGACGTTTGTGCCAAATTTTAAGATATTCCCTCAAGGTGTTCTTGAGATATCAAGTTTATGAAAATGGGGCAAACCAGGTCACAGTGACTTTAACCTTTGACCAACAAAATCTAATTGTTTATCTTTGAGTCCAAGAGGCTGTTTGTGCCAAATTTGAGGAACTTGAGATATCATGCTCACAAGAATGGGATGGACACAAGGTCCGATTGACCTCGACCTGTGACTCCCAAAACCTAATGAGTTCATCGTTAAGTCCAAGTGGATGTTTGTGCCAAGTTTGAAGAAATTCTTTCAAGGTGTTCTTGAGACGTCACATTCAGGAGAATGGGACAAACCAAGTCACAGGGACTTTAACCTTTGCACATCAAAATCTAATTGTTTATGTTTGAGTCCAAGAGGCCGTTTGTGCCAAATTATGAAAAATTCCCTCAAAGCCTTCTTGAGATATCATGTTCACAAGAATCAGACAAACCATGTCACAGTAACTTTAACCTTTGACCCCCAAAATCTATCAGTTCAGCCTTGAGTTCAAGTCGACGTGTCAAATTTGAGGAAATTCCCTTAAAGCCCTCCTGAGGGACAGTGTTCACAAGAATGGGACAGAGGCAAGTTCACCATGACACTGACCTTCGACCACAGAAAATGAAATCAGTTCCTTGTTAAGTCCAAGTGGACGTTAGTGCCAAGTTTGAAGAAGTTCCTTCAAGGTGTTCTTGAGATATCACGTGAGATATCACAGTGACTTTAACCTTTGACCAACAAATCCTATTGTTTATCTTTGAGTCCAAGAGGCCGTTTGTGCCAAATTTGAGGAAATTGGTGAGGTATTCTTGAGCCATCATGTTCACTTGATTGGGACATACAAACAAATGGATCGATGGAGAGCCTGGAAACAAAAGGCCCCCGTCATGACTAACGTAAAAGGTTAAAAATGATTCAATCAGCTACATGATTTCACACTTACTCAAAATAGTGTCAAGGCAGCTGCAAAAGACACCGTATCATTCTAAGAGACAAAACAGATGAAGCTGCTGATTAAACAAACTCCATGAGCAGTCACTGGTGCTTCTGAAGGTTTGCTCCATAATGTCCCCCTTTATTTTATTTCCTTTGATGAGGGGTTATTCTAGGAAACTCAGATTAGATTGGTTTGCAATTATCAGCGAGTGTTTTCTGAGCTCTCAGTGTTCCCCACCAGTCGTCCAAACACAGAATGCATGCTTGATGCTAATTGGTTCAAAGGGTGATATGGGGTCATGGAGCTGGATGTGCCATGTCCAAACAACAGAGACCTCTCATTGAACAACAGACTGAGGATGATATTCATGGCGACACCAAACTGGACTGAAGCTTCCTTATCTGAGATGTGAACAGAAACAGTGCTGACGACAAACAAACTGTGGCTTAAATCAGGACGACGCACGACTGAATGAAACATGCAACATTATCAGGTTGATCCTGACCATTCTTCGCCGCAGAGTTGCTGGATTGTAAAAGCTGCAGGCCAGGCTAACCTTGCGTTTCTGCGCCCTAGGTGCATGCGTTTTTGCCCGAGGACTCTGGACTCCTTGAGTTGAAAAAACCTCAACTCAGAGCAGAAAAGCGCCCCACTTCATCTCTTTTTTGTCATCTTTTTCCCCATTGTCCAGTCAGATGATTTGAGAGGCAGGCCTTCTGTGGTGGTCACGACAACACAGTTGGTAAACAATGGAGGAGAAACTGGTGGTAGTGGTTGCTGGATACCCAGAGCTATACGGCCTGATGATAGACAGCAGGTTGTCAAACTGCCCCTGAGTCATCCTAAAATATGCCTGTAAACGTCAATGATGGAGGAGAAGCTCCTGGACCAACTGGTGGTACTCCCCATGATCCAGCCTCTTTTTTAGGGTCTCATGTACCCACACAGATCTCTGTTTATCTGCTGACAGCCTCTCACCCTCAACCAGAGCTACATCAACATTTTAGGAACTAGATACCGATNAGCCTCAGAGGCTGCCACTGAAAAATGGCAACTAAATTTCAAGAACAGAGTTAAAGGCTTGATATTTTCACTGTGGTTGATGGCAGTACATGAAATCTGCTGTGTGACCACGACTTGATTATTAGTTTAAGTTTTATCAGAATATTCCTTTATTTAGAGAGTAAACACAGCAAAAAAATGGACAAACTAAAGTCGTTGCAGTTTCTGTTCAGTTTCCTTCCTCTCTCTTTTGTGCCCCTACCTCTGGCTCATTTTCTCAGGATTAATGGAAGGAGTTAGATTGCACCTGAAACAAAACATGCATCATGTAACAACCCACAAACAGACTGAGTCCTGTAATAGGAGATCTTGTTTGAACTGCATGAAGAGTGAGTGTGAAGAGAGGGGTTTAGTTTGCCAGTTGGGAAATAGATTCCCTCTGATGTAATAAACATGTTAACTCTTTTTAGATTAAAAAATGACAAAAGATTAAATCACAATATTGTATAAGGAAACTCTTCAACAGTCTCTAATCTGTGTGTTTAAATGGCTCGTGCAGCAACTTGCAGGTAAATCTCTGAGGCTGCAGCGTTAGAAGCCAGAATGCCTCCTGGTGTCTGTTTGCTGAATGGGTGATCAGATATCTCAGTACACAATGACTTCCACTCAGCGGACCTCTAAAAATAGCATCAGGTGCTTTTTCTCAGCATTACATCACACACAGTGAACACGACACCTCTGATCCTGACAGATGAGGTCATGCATCCTTCATATCTGCGCCTGTTAATTAATGTCTGTTTAAAATGGGATGAAAACACTTTATTTGTTTCTATTTTTGCAGCAGTTGTGAAATTCAGACTCTAGCACATGTGCTCATGTAACTAAGTGGCGCCCACAAACACAGAGTAGTGTGAATAATTTGTATGACATCTATGACGTCAGTACTTTCGGAGAAAAACTAGAATTACTGCCTCGCGGTTGTATGCCTCTGTGGACCAGTCAAGTTGCAGTTAAAATCCATGTTGCAGCTGCAAAGAAGCTATAAATTCTAAAACATGGACGCTTTGCACACAGAAGATCTATACAATCAGCACAGTTTCAAGATTAGAGTCACCAATTCACAATCTGACCAAATGTCTCCCCTTCTGTTCCTGAGATATGACACGGAATAATGGCCAGAAAAGGGTTTTTGAAGAACATTAAGATGTCACAGTGAAGTTGACCTTTGACCTTTTAATATAAAATATCATCACTTCATTATTTTATCTTGTTAGACATTTGTTTGAAATTTTGTCATGAAATGTTTGTCACAAACCAGGTCACAGTGACTTTAACCTTTGACCAACAAAATCTAATCGTTTAACTTTGAGTCCAAGAGGCTGTTTGTGCCAAATTTGAGGAAATTCCCTCAAAGCCTTCTTGAGATATAGTGTTCACAAGAATGGGACAGAGGCAAGGTCACAGTGACACTGACCTTTGGCCATTTACCACAAAATTCTGATCCGTTCATTGTTAAATCCAAGTGGACGTTTGTGCCAAATTTTAAGATATTCCCTCAAGGTGTTCTTGAGATATCAAGTTTATGAAAATGGGGCAAACCAGGTCACAGTGACTTTAACCTTTGACCAACAAAATCTAATTGTTTATCTTTGAGTCCAAGAGGCTGTTTGTGCCAAATTTGAGGAACTTGAGATATCATGCTCACAAGAATGGGATGGACACAAGGTCCGATTGACCTCGACCTGTGACTCCCAAAACCTAATGAGTTCATCGTTAAGTCCAAGTGGATGTTTGTGCCAAGTTTGAAGAAATTCTTTCAAGGTGTTCTTGAGACGTCACATTCAGGAGAATGGGACAAACCAAGTCACAGGGACTTTAACCTTTGCACATCAAAATCTAATTGTTTATGTTTGAGTCCAAGAGGCCGTTTGTGCCAAATTATGAAAAATTCCCTCAAAGCCTTCTTGAGATATCATGTTCACAAGAATCAGACAAACCATGTCACAGTAACTTTAACCTTTGACCCCCAAAATCTATCAGTTCAGCCTTGAGTTCAAGTCGACGTGTCAAATTTGAGGAAATTCCCTTAAAGCCCTCCTGAGGGACAGTGTTCACAAGAATGGGACAGAGGCAAGTTCACCATGACACTGACCTTCGACCACAGAAAATGAAATCAGTTCCTTGTTAAGTCCAAGTGGACGTTAGTGCCAAGTTTGAAGAAGTTCCTTCAAGGTGTTCTTGAGATATCACGTGAGATATCACAGTGACTTTAACCTTTGACCAACAAATCCTATTGTTTATCTTTGAGTCCAAGAGGCCGTTTGTGCCAAATTTGAGGAAATTGGTGAGGTATTCTTGAGCCATCATGTTCACTTGATTGGGACATACAAACAAATGGATCGATGGAGAGCCTGGAAACAAAAGGCCCCCGTCATGACTAACGTAAAAGGTTAAAAATGATTCAATCAGCTACATGATTTCACACTTACTCAAAATAGTGTCAAGGCAGCTGCAAAAGACACCGTATCATTCTAAGAGACAAAACAGATGAAGCTGCTGATTAAACAAACTCCATGAGCAGTCACTGGTGCTTCTGAAGGTTTGCTCCATAATGTCCCCCTTTATTTTATTTCCTTTGATGAGGGGTTATTCTAGGAAACTCAGATTAGATTGGTTTGCAATTATCAGCGAGTGTTTTCTGAGCTCTCAGTGTTCCCCACCAGTCGTCCAAACACAGAATGCATGCTTGATGCTAATTGGTTCAAAGGGTGATATGGGGTCATGGAGCTGGATGTGCCATGTCCAAACAACAGAGACCTCTCATTGAACAACAGACTGAGGATGATATTCATGGCGACACCAAACTGGACTGAAGCTTCCTTATCTGAGATGTGAACAGAAACAGTGCTGACGACAAACAAACTGTGGCTTAAATCAGGACGACGCACGACTGAATGAAACATGCAACATTATCAGGTTGATCCTGACCATTCTTCGCCGCAGAGTTGCTGGATTGTAAAAGCTGCAGGCCAGGCTAACCTTGCGTTTCTGCGCCCTAGGTGCATGCGTTTTTGCCCGAGGACTCTGGACTCCTTGAGTTGAAAAAACCTCAACTCAGAGCAGAAAAGCGCCCCACTTCATCTCTTTTTTGTCATCTTTTTCCCCATTGTCCAGTCAGATGATTTGAGAGGCAGGCCTTCTGTGGTGGTCACGACAACACAGTTGGTAAACAATGGAGGAGAAACTGGTGGTAGTGGTTGCTGGATACCCAGAGCTATACGGCCTGATGATAGACAGCAGGTTGTCAAACTGCCCCTGAGTCATCCTAAAATATGCCTGTAAACGTCAATGATGGAGGAGAAGCTCCTGGACCAACTGGTGGTACTCCCCATGATCCAGCCTCTTTTTTAGGGTCTCATGTACCCACACAGATCTCTGTTTATCTGCTGACAGCCTCTCACCCTCAACCAGAGCTACATCAACATTTTAGGAACTAGATACCGATTACTGTGAAATAAATAAAATAAACAGTAGATTGATTATAAGGTTAGGAGGTGAGTCTGTGGTTGCCTGGCAACAATAAAAAGGTGCACAAAATTTTTTTCACTACTGGAAAGGCAGTGCGGTGTGCCTCATATTTTACAACCTGCAAAATACTTTCTGTGTGATCGGGGCCTAAAGCTTACTGACGTAGCCGAAAGAAACCAGGTCTCCTAACTACAGTTGGGAGCCACAAGACTGGAGAGGTGATGTTAAAGTCTGGGTAAAGCAAATAAATATGTGCTATGAGTTTGTCATGCTACAGAAAAATATGTCAATAACTACGCAGCCAAATTTAAATGATTAAAATAATTGCGAAATATATAAATTGAGGTTTCAGGCAGCTGTTAGTGGCCTCAGGTGGGCCTCCAGTTGGTGATCTGTCCGTTGGTTCCATCACGTATTCTACTGTGGACTTTCCTCCTTCCCAGGAGATGAATCCTAATGATTCTGGTGACCTCCTGACCAAAATTTCCCCATGACTTGGTTCATGACAAGGTATCTCAAGTTATAACTACCAGATGGTGCTGGAATTTGCTGTGGATATTTAGAATGAATCTTGATTTGTTTAAGTACATTCCTGCTTCTGAGAGGATAAACCTTTCAGACTTTAATAACCACCTTAATGAACTTTCCTCAAGTGTCAAATCTGAGAGGTGATAAACCAAAAGTGTGTTGTTTGTTTGTATGTTTGTCTGTCTTTCATATATCATGGCTGTAACAAACACTGCAGCCTGCAGGAGGCACTAGCAAGACTTGTGATTTTAGTTTAAGTTTCAGTGGAGCTGAGATGGTGAAACAGTTGTGAGTGTTTCTGACGGTGTTGCAGTCACTTACGTTGTAAAGGTCTGTAGCCAGGTTGTGGCTGATCTGTTGGAGCTGAGGGAGACCGCCGGCTCTCTGCTGCTCCGCCTGCTGCTCTGCTTCCTGTTTAACGTGACACTGAGAGGAGCTCTGGACACAGTGATCCATCGGCCTTTCATTCTTTATCAGCTGAGAGTTCGCTGTGTTCATCTGCTGCCCCATCGACCTCTGTTGCTGCAGAGAGACACACCGTAACCACCGTTTAAACCTCAGAAATCAATTAATCTCACCAAATGTATTATCTTTATCTAATTTATAAATCAATCTTATCTGCCTTCCAGTGACCCACCGATCCAAATTGCTGCTGCATGTGCTGGTTATGTGAGTTACGCAGGTTCTGCAGGTGGAGCTGCTGCATGGACTGCGACTGTTGCTGCTGCTGAGCATTGGGCCGCGGCTGCTGGAGGCGGTGCAGCTGTTGGTGGTGGTGCTGGCTCATCTGAGAGGGCTGCTGGCCAGGCTGGGAGCCCTGCAGACCGGGGAGAGGCTGGTGGGAGCCTGGCTGGTGCTGGTGGGACTGGCTGAGTGGGTACGGAGGGAGCCTCTGGTCCAGAGGCAGTTTGCTGGTGTCCAGAGGGACGCCCTGTGAGGGGGTAGGGTCAGACGTCAACAGCATTCTTTGATTCTACAATTGTTTTTCTGTGTTAGTTTGGAAGGCTTCACAAATTTAGGGAAATTAATTTTTAACTCTGGAGCTTTTATATCTAAATACCTGACAAATCAGGGTACACAAATACACAGACCGTTTATAATAAAAGTTAGAGCAACATTTTTATCAGGACACAATTCAACACAGCATATTTATCACTATAATCCTCTGATGTGATCAAACTTTCACCACACTTAAAAACAACAATTACAAGTTGTGTTAGCTGCAGTTATGAAATTAGTTCTGTGGAAGGAGTCCCAGAATACCAGATGGTGAAAATTAGCGTTCTTAGTTTGCTTGTCACGTGAAGTCAATCTGATTTATCCACATTGACAAGTTTGCCTCAAAGGACATTACACCCTCGCTCCTCAGACCAGTTCTGAGAAGCAACAACTCTTTAAAAAAGGAGAAAAAGTAGGGTTCCCTCTTTCAGGACAGAAACAGAAAATACAAAATCAAATTTACGATATTGAGAAACAAAATGACAATATCAAGTAGGCAGATTGCAAGCGTGTATGATGCATCCAGGAAGACACTGAGCAACTTCCAGATGTGACCACAAGAACTTGTTTGTTTTTTACTACTCAGAATCAGAGCAGGATCCACATGTCCTTTAAGATTTCAACTTCTGGGACTAATGAAAGAAATCCTGGTCCAATATTTTCTGTGTTTACTGATCTTAAAAACAACAGATAGTATTGTTATATAATCAAAACATGTACCTATCAGCTGTGCACTTGAGATCAGACTGGAGACATAGCCACTTAAAAGATGGATGAGTGCTTGCTATGTTCAAAAGTTTGTATTTTCTAAACAGAAAATACACATTTTATATTGTGTTTTTAGGTTTTTGTTTTAGTTAAATAAGAGGCTATTGCATCTGGCAGGACCTTGTCTCCAGCCTCAAAAGCCTTGTTTCCACCAAACACTTTCAGTCCAGTCCCTTTGGAACCAGCAGTAAGCCTTCAGACATGGTACCTAGACCCTCGGTCTGTTCAGACAGTCCTCTTAAATGTGGGCGGGGTTGTTGTCACTCACTGCTCCGTCCAGCACTCGCTGTATTTCCTCATCAGCGGTGACACAGATGGAAGTCTGCACCTGGTTTATCGTCCACAGAACGAGGCTGCACGCCCACATTTTCACAACAAAATAGAACAGGCTGCAGTGAGAGTCTCTCTCCATGGGATATTTAAAAATAGCAGCTTTGTGCATTTAGTCCTTCTCAGGCAAGCTCAGGGGTTTAGTGTTGCTGTAGCCCACAGGAACGACGCTCCATCATGCTTTTTTTTTCTCCAAGTGAGGATTAGAATATATGCAGGTCACATAATCTGGTCCAAATTAATATATATAAACTCTTGAAGATCCACTCATTACGAGAAGTGTCTCTTTAAGGTGTGCTGATGGATTCACGTCATCAACTCATGCATTGAGTAACATTTCAAGTTAACGTTCCACCTTAAAAGTTGCCGGCAGTAGGCCCAGTGAATGAAGTTATTTTTTCTCAGACTCCAGCTGCTGTGAGAGGCAGCAAAACATCCTTTCATTTTATAGTTACAGTTTACTAATAAAACTCTCCACAGTATGAACAGTGGTTACATGAGCCTCAAAACCAGACACAACTCAGCCCTGAGCAGAGTGACCGTCCTCTACTGACCAATCAGACTGCAGTGTTCACGGCTCCACCTTTTAATACCAGATCTGTGTGCTAGGTACCCCAACAGAGGGGGGACCAAACATGGGGACGCTAAGGAACGCTTCTGTTGGTACCATCCACAACTTTCACTGTGGAAATGGAAAAAAAGCGTACAGAACTGAACTGAACTGAATCGAACTGAACCGAACTTGACTGCTTGGTGGAAACGGGGCTGAACATATCTCTGGCATTTCTGTGCTTAAATTTTGTCTTGGCTGAAAAGTGGGTTCTCTCTTTCTGTCACTCATTGCTAACTCGGTAATGTGGCTTATTTGTGTGTTGCAAGGGTTAATACAGAGAGAAAAGAAGGTAGAAGAAGGTAACAGACCCTCTAACTGATGTGTAATAGTTACCTGTGTGATAGAGGACAGGGTGGGGGAGATGGTGGGGGAGAACTGTTTTGAGTGATGCCTCCGCGACTCCCCTCCCATGGGCAGGATGAGTGGGGAGAGCTGTGCCCGTCTCCGTGGCGACGTGCTGAGCGACGGTTGGCCTTGTCCACTGAGCAGTGGCGAGTAGGAGGAAGAGCAGGAGCTGGAGCCGCCCACGCCACTGTTGTAGCCGGGGTTACCGCTGGACGCTGACTGGAGGGAGGAGTTACTGAGGGAGGAGTGCAGCGACTGGCTGCTGAGGGAGGAGGGAAGAGACGGCGAGGAGCTGAGGGACGACTGCAGCGAGGGGTTGCTGAGCGACGAGTGCAGGGAGGCGGAGCTCAAAGAGTTGGAGAAGGAGTGGCTGCTGAGTGATGACTGGATGTTGGGGTTGCTTAGTGATGACTGCAGGGAGGGGTTACTGAGCGTGCTCTGTAGAGACGCCAGGAGACCTGAGGAGGCAAAACAAAAAACTATTAAACCAACTGTACTCTCAGTGTCCACTGAGACAAGGACGGTAATAGAAAAATGTCATAAAAACTAAAGACTAAATAGTCGGGAGATCCAGAACACAGGAAACAGTCACAGAGTGGAACCCAAAACCATTCTCTGATTTAGTTTTTAGTTCCTAAAACTAAAATGTAATGTAAAGCTGCAACTAATAAGGATTTTTATTTCAAGTTTAGTGTCTGAAAATAATGAAAAATGCTCATCATGAATCTTGTTTCGTCTAAAACCCAAAACACATTCAGCTTACACAAAAGCAGCAAAACTGTGATTAAAATCTGTTGTGGGGCTTTTTTAAAGTGGCTCTATGTTGTATTCAGAGCTTATGAGTTGTCTGCAGATGGTTCTCAACATGGAGGTGGCTGAGCTAGCGGCTAGCAGCTAATGGGGCTAACTCCATAGACAGCACTCAACAGTGGCAACAGTGCTGACAGAGCTAACAATGTTAACCAAGGGGAACCAGAAGGTGGGCACCACACTTACACGACAACGCCGTCTTGGTGTCAGTGGTAACCTGTTTCATAATGTAGAGTGAGGACAGCTACTTGACAGAGACAACAAACTAGCTCAACAACATGGCCAAATGCAAGTATGATGCTGAATGTATTAAACTGTTTGGGCATCGAACTAATGACTTGGAAGAAATCGTGCCTGGACCAGTTGGGAACTGCTGGTCAGTGTGTTTAAGGCCCTGTTTAGACGACAACAGTTTCTCTAAAAACAGAAAAGTCTGTCCTTTGCGTTTTAAAAAACTTCTGCGTTTATATGACTACGTTATTGAAACGATCTCTGTTCACACGGAGCCGCAAAATCTACTGGAAACGCTGTAGTATGTACGCCAGGGCAATGGGTGGCAGTGTAAATTTGCAAAGCAACACCACGGCATGACGCCATGCGCCTGCACCGAAGTGCCTTCCTCTACAACACGGTGATTACAAACCAAAACAAAAACGCTGCCGTTTACAAAAAGTTGCACTCTGGAACCCGTTTTCGAATCGTTGCGTTTTCAGGCACCCAAAACGCTGCTGTTGTGTAAACAATCGGCCAAAACGCAACTAAAGTTTACTGTTTTCAGTTGAAATTGTCGTATAAACGGGGCCTAAGTGCAACTTTTTGGCCGAGACACAGGCAACGTGAGCTGACCCAACAGTCGGCCTTATTCACCGCCACTTCTTTGATGCTGGTTTGGTGTGTCTGAGCATTTAGAGTTGCTTGTTTTGTCAGACAGACATCCCACGACACAAATATATTCCATTTAAAATTATATTAAACCGCGAAAAACAGCAAAAAAAGAGAGACTGAGATCAAAGAATATTTAGCATTTTTTCATGATAAAACTCCAAAAACACTGGATTATTTACTTCCCACAACACAACAGCAAATTTTTGTTAGACCCTCACACTGACTGATCAACAGCCAAGTCTCTTAAAAAAACTCTTTCAGTTTGTACGGCGGGCTGAGATAACCCGACTGCATCTTACACCTTTCGAAGAAAACATGATGAAGAGTCACACCATGAAATATGAAACTGTACATCACAACCAAAATCAACAGGTAAAAGTCAATTCTCTGAAAAACACATTTAAACAATCAGGTGAGCGACCCGATGAAGCTCTCCAACAACATGAATAATGAAATACGCCAACAGAAAGCAGCTGAGTCACGAAATAAATCTATGATTCATTCTAATGAATCATGGATCAGTTAGTCACCTTTAATTACTGCTACACTTCAATTAACAGTACAAACCTCAACTGTGACTATACTGACACAATTCCTCTGGAAAATGAGTCATAATTTATTGTTAAATAAAAAAACATATTCTTGTTATGGAACAAAACTCTTCACATGAATCTTCACTGACTGATGAGCTGCACAGGAGTACAGGCTTTTCTCTTTGTCTCTGTGGCTTCAGTTTAAAATAGACTGTTTGGGGATTCAGCTCGTCCCAAGGTGATCTCAGCAGGTGAAAACATCAGCTCTGTCCCCAAATACACCCTCCTGCCATCACTCACTGCACCTCCTCAAGCTGCCTTACCTTGCACTACCTCCCTGCTCTGCCTCTTTTTATACACCCTCAGTAGGTCAGGTTCATCCACAATCTGCGTCTCACGTCTTCTTTCTGACCTGGTTCAGACTGAAACCAGGAACAAGACACAGAGCCCAAATATAGCTGAAAGTATGCGCCAAAGTGGAATATCACTAAAACGATATTACTTCTAATAAACAAACAGATAATAAAGTGAAGTTACTGACTTATCATATGATATATGAACATGACCTCCATCATTTTGCTGACCTCGATATAGCCCGTCATGTTTACATGCGCATTTATAAACAAAGCAAGTCACACACGTGTTAGTCAACATAATGCCGGAATAAACAGCAGGGTTTTCTCAACCACTACAAGATTTGGGTGCAGGTACTCTCCCTTTTTTCTCTCCAACCCCCGCCTACTTTCACGAGACACCTTTAAGATGACATAGCATAACTTACTGTTGGCCTGCAGCTGCACTTTAGGAGTGGAGGACGCACAGTCCTGAGTCTGACAGTCGTTAACTTGCCAACCCCACGAGTCAAAGAAAGTCTGTCGTTTTTACTTTTATCCTCCAACAACTTCATCGTCCACTCTGTAAATCCACCAGCAAACCGACTGACTCCCAGGCTGTCCATCCCCAGGAGGCGACTAGTTCAATTTAACAAGAGTTTATTTAACATTAATAAGAAAAGTAGGGAAATCCTCTGGAGATTGTTAATATCTACAGCCAATACGAGGTCAAGCTGGCCATTAACTAAGTAAATCTGGAACAAGGTGTTGGACTGTTGGACGAACCTGGTCATGAGAGCTGTGTATTTATTATTTTGGAGAGGAAAAATGACTCTAAGCAGGTGTTTTTTTCTTTTTTACCACCAGTTAAATGTGGAAACTGTGACATGACCTTAGTGTTTTCATTGGGGAACTGAAAACTAAATAGTAAATTCTCACACTCTTTCATAGTGAAAAAAAAAAAAGTTCGACATCTGTCTTTCAAATCCAAACTTAAAGTTGACAACGTGAGGTTTGCAGCTTCCCCCTGGGGCTGCAGCTGACACTTTGCCCATCTGGTTTACAGTCTTATACAGACACCATGTTGATCCACACTCAGGTTTGGAGAGTCAGGCTGCAGCCTGAGGTTGAGATGACTGCAGCTTCCTGCCTGCGGTTTGTTCAGTCACCTCACAAACGATAAAACACGGCTACATTTTCCGACTCCACTTCCGCCCACGAAAAAAAAATCCCTCCCTCATTCTCTCTCTAAAGGCTAAATTTAGAACATCGTCCTGCCGTACATCCCCCTTCGTTTCATCTCATCCACTCTCACCCACATACTTCCTCTGCTAACCTTCACATTAGCTACTTAGCTGAGACTTTGGTCAGACAGATTTACGACAACTGAGCAGCCAGGCAGCTCGGTGTCTTGCCTGAGGACACACAGAATCTACAAACTGTTGCTGGAGGAACTGAAAAGTGACTCTTTAGTTACAGGACGGTTTTTCCATGTAAGTCTCTTTATCAAGTCCACGTGCATATCTGACCTGCCCTTAATATATGAGTGAAGACAAACAGAAGGCTAAATTTAACAAGGTCAGTCCAGTAAGAAAAAAAAATCTAATCTACTAATTCCACGAATTAGGCATGGTTATTAAAGTGCAACAATATACATGTTAGATTAGACGTAATTATCATCCAGGAGGAAATTAAATTTTTTCACTCTGTTGTTAAACACACACGGGCCTGAAATACACACACATATACAAACAGGACCTACACAGGCATTACATGGAGAGATATCAGAGCGAGGGGGCTGCCCATGGATGGGCACTCGAAGCGGGGGGTTTGGAGCTTTGCTCAAGGGCGCCTCAGTGGTGACCAAGAGGTGAACTGGCACCTGTCCAGCTACCAGTCCATACTATATTTGGTCCGGACGGGGACTTTAACTAGCGACCCTAAGTCTGAACTGAACTACTGCCGCCCAGTCACCTGCTGCTTCCTTTTAATCCACATCTGGTTTCTTTAACACACAGAGCTCGTTATGTTAAAGTGCTGAAAGTGAACTTGTGATATCCTTCAAAGCTGAGGAAACTGTAGACAAAAAAGCTACATCACACCTGTCATATGGAAGTCAAAAGCGACAAAGCGCAGATTAAAACAATCTGCAAAATATGCCGTCAATCGAAGCCAACCAAGACAGGAAACACAACAAACTGAGATTTACCGATGTAACTACGATTCTACAAATTCTGGATGTCGGCCAGTTTAATCACCTGAAAAGGTGCTGCTTTGTTACATCAGATAAAGCATGTTTGCAAAGTTAAATGTTCGCATTATTTATTATATAATTTTATCTCAAAATATATTCTAAACCAAGCCATGTTTGCACAGTGAATGTTTAAGATATTTATTTTAATACAAAATAAACTATTTTCTAAAGTTTACTTAATGAAACTTGTGGTTCCCTCAGGCTTTGGTTATTATCATGATATTTTTCAAACTGGCAACATTATCAAATTATACATCAGGAGAAATATAAATACTGATTAACATGGAAAAGACCTTTGTGATAATATTTTTTGCCATATTGTCCAGCACTGAATGAAAGTGTTTGAAGAAGAGTGTTACTTCCTATACGCTGGGTCAATGTGAGACAGCGGCTCGCTGCCTGACCTGTTCGAAGAGCAACAGGTTTGCGAGCGTGATATACAATGTAATTTCATCACGCCCATGCCCATTTTGTGACGAGCAAACTTTTATGTTGCATAAAACTGTAATGTTGAACTTGTCAGTAATTTAATACATTTGATATGATTTAAATATTGATTGTAGCTGCTTTAAACACCAGACATTGTATGAATTTATCTCCAGACCGTAAAACTAAACCAGACTGCAACGGACTCAGCAGCACCTTACTCTGATCAGTCGAGCCACACAACTCATAATAATCAGCTCAACAATCTTAACGTGTGCCTGGATCTTAGGGAATCAATAAGCCAACACATACACACACACACACTGCTGCAGCCTGCACGTACCTGGTGCGTGGTGGTGGAAGTTGCCGTTGCCTCCCTGTGCGTTGGCGGCGTTGATGCCCAGCTGAGTGAGGGTGGAGGCCAGGTTCCCTGTGCTGCTCCCCCCGCTCAGAGACGAGGATCCTGGGTAGCCCGGCTCGTCCTGGTCAAGTGGTGTTGGCAGCGGGGAGGGGAAGTGGAGGCTGGACAGGTCGGGCAGGGAGCCGCCGGTGTTGAGGGCCGATGGGACGCCGTGAGCCGGCGTGGACGGCTGCTCCGGGGACGTAAAGATGCTGAGAGCAAACAGAGGACGTTAAGATCTACCCAGGAATTAAAACAAGCTGGGAGGGGATCGTTTGAAAATTTAATCTGGTAGTTTCAGCATTAATATCACAGGAAGCAGTCTGATATAATTCATTGCTCCATAAATACTTAACTGCAGTTTGAATCTTAAATAAACCCTCCTCCCATTTTGTTATCTTCATAATTAAACGTCTTTCTTCCTAATTTTTAAGGCATGAGTGCCCCAAAGTTTTCACAGTACTCTGATGATCTTTGTTACAGGCTGAGGAGAACAGTGAATAAATGATGCTGTCTGGTTTTCTTAAGAGTTCAAGGTGAGGAAAACAGAAGCAGCAGAGGAACTAATTACTACCTGCAGGGGTTCAAAAGTAAAAGAACCCCGACACAATCTTTGTGTTGGCACAAAAGGATGAATCGAATTTCAGGCCACTACAAAGAAATGTGACATCATGCGGTGTGCGATGTGGTATGAATAAAGCATGCATGTGTGTGTTTAGTGGTGTTAGACTTACTTGATACCAGGAACTTCACAGGATTTGGGTCGGGACGTCAGAAGAGGCAACTGGAGAGAGAAAAATAAAAAAATCAGTTCTCTTTCTGTTTCTTTAAATACATAATCAGTGTGAAGAGTGTCAAGTGCTTTTATATTTCATCCAGTCTCCAGAAGGCAATTAGTGCAACTAATCCATTTTATTGGCTGCACCACACCGCTTGCTTTGATGCTGGTAATGTGCAAACAAAGTTAATCAGCACAAAGTATGGAACGCTGTGGAAACATATGCTGAAATGAGCACAACATGTGAAAAAGCACATGTAGTCACCACCAATGGAGCGGGTGGATCAGGAAGACCTGCTTAAGGTTTCCAAGTTAGCTAACATAAAGAGAGCTGTGTATACGTTGTAGAGGATGTGAATGGAAACGCATCCATCATGTTAATGCACATTCAGTGGCATCACCCAGGTGTGCCAATCATCTGGATACGTAAAAAAACAATAACAAAAAAAATATCCCTGCTGCTTTCAAGCAGCCTTTGGACACCAAGCATTGGCATTTACACCAGAACTAATCGAAACTCTCCTCCTAATGAGCAAGTTTGATTTTGCAGTATCACATGATAAGAGATGCTCTTCAGTTTTATGACCCGTTGCCTTTCGGGAAAGTGTTTCTTCAATGTTTGTTCAGTGCAATGAACACGATGATTTTGGTTTTATGACCCAAACAGTTTACCAAAGTCGCCAGTGGACAAAATGTTACGTCAGTCTCCAGCAGGAGGATCGTGTCTGTCTTTGGCAATTAAACTTCTGTTTGTAAGAAACGGATTTTTAGGCATTTCTTTTTCTCTCCGCTGTAACAAATTTGCACTGATCCGTGACTTGTGTGTCCCCTTATACCCCAGTATGTATGAGAACTGACAAAAAAAAAGAAGCTTAAAATGTATTACTGCTGCTCCATATTTGCGGTGAAAACTCATAGGTGCACCTAAATGAAAAAGTTAGGCGAACCAGTGCAACCAGTATAAAAAGTAATTATGGACCCCTGATTTAATAACAAAAAAAAATTTTTACACACTTGATTCTCACACACTGAATGATAGAATTAAGGTTAAACATTGCATTTTTTGGACAAAGACATTTTTTTGTGAAGAAAAAAAAAAGAGTATAAAAACTATAACTTTTAACACACCTGCCAAGAATCTAAATGTTTAACAGCTGCTGACTAAAGAACTGATGTGAAAAATAATCTGCAAAGACTGTATATTATGTATTAAAAACATTCCTAAGAGATAATAAAACAGAAAAATATTATATTTTTTAATGGTTTTACCTTCTTCGTGTCCCAGGGTTTGAGCAGTTTCCCCTCATCCAACATATTCTCCTCAATGGGGGGCACAGGGTACGGAAACACTGAGGGACAAAACAATGAAGTCTGTAAATATACAAACGTGCTGAACTTTCTCTGGATGTTGTCGAGTGATGAAGTGAACTGTCAGTTCAGTCAATATCATATGGGTCAAGAGGATTAAAGCTTGTGATATATTATATTCAGAAGTAATTACAAACCCTGAAGTTGTACATCACCATTTCTGAACGTGTTTAAAACACTTCGGTTAAATATCTCGGGGTTAGTCGGGGTGTAAAACACATTGATACAAGTCATTATCTTAAAGATACGCCTTTATTTTGAAACTCCCATGGCACGTCTGCGTCACCATCTGTCCAAGCACGCTTTCATCCTAAACATTCAGACAGTACTAGGGGGGCCTAGCGTCAGGCAGACAATGGCAAGCACCCCAAACAAAAACAAACAAAAAAAAAACAAAGACAATGAGGATATTTACTGATATCGTCGCATATCGAACGCAGGCTGCTGAACTGAATCGAGCAAAAATCTAATTGTAGCAGACTTTGTGATTGAAGATCGTATTGCCATCCAAACAATCAACTAGAAAAGCACTCGGAGAGTGCAGACCTCCGCCAAGCAGCTCGGATTTCCCGCCATTTTATTATTTTATTCACTTCGCTTCAACCGATCACCACCAAACTTTTATCATCTGTTCCTTGTCCCATTATCGACCTTTCATCAAAATCCGATCAGAACTTTTTGAGTTATTTTGCAGACAAACCGACAAACAAAGAGGCCGGCGAAAACTTAACCTCCTTGGCAGAGGTAATAACATATCGTGATGAATCTGATGTTAAGATGTATACTGTGATATGATTCCAGGGAGGAGCCTGTTGGTGCATAGTGTCATGTTTTGTAAATGATAGCTGCACAAAACTTCTATTTTATTAATTTTTATTTAACCTTCATTTAATCAGAAAGTCCCTTGAGATGGAAATCTCTTTTCCGAGGGAGACCTGGCCAAGACAACACCAGTTACAGTTAAAATAGAAACAAAACAAAACAGACAGATAAAATCATCAAACACACCAAGAGGAGACTAAAACCAGCTCCAATAAAGCATGTGCACTGCTCAGTTATATGGACTTTTAACACAGCTTTAAAGTTTTCAAGGGGGACTAGATTATTAAAATGTATTATGCTCTGCAGATTATTCCAACTCCAGGGAGCACACTAAGTAGGAGAAGGACGTTTTTGCACAGCTCAGTGCAAAACCCTTGAAACGTAGAAAAACTGACGAGTCCTGCAGTGCTCTCACAGGCTCACGCACGGGTTGCAAGTACGGTTTCTGTTTTGATCTGCACAACGTTTCAAAATGAATAAAAGGGGAAATGATCTCACAGTGCAAATCAAAAGGTTAACACATTGTTCATTTCGTGGAATGAGCCCCCGGGACCTTTGTTGCGTGCCAAATTAAATTTGTGCACAAACGTGTGAGAAAGTTGCAAGTATGACCTGCTTTCACAGCCAAGAGCACGACTGATATTCATTCAGTGTGTGTGCATGTATAACTTTTGTTTCACACACAATGTAGGCCTCTGAAGTTACAGTGTGGAGTTTTATAAACACTTTCCTGCTTTGAATCTCAATGAGATGTACTTTAATAGTTGATTATTTGTAAAAGTAATTGTTAAGAGTAAAGATGCTTTTCATGGTATGAGCTTCTCAAATGTGAGCTTTCCACTTCTTAAGGTACAGTGAACTTATGGAAAGCAAATTTACAGTAAATTCAATGAGAAAACGTCAGCAAATGTAACAATGAGAATAATAATTGGTTGTTGCCAAACAACAACATCCAGGGCTGAAAAATGAAGCCAACACCGAAGTGCCAAAAACTGCAGTTCTTTGAACGGCCACTTGAGGCTGTCTCCAGCAGCGAGTCAATCCTCATAGACCCCTTATGTTAAAATATCCAATTTCACAACAGAAATAAACATGTTTACAGCCTGGTACAAAAACAGTTTGGGTCTCTATAGCTAGTTTCATCATTCATGACGACTGTGCGGGGGGTTAATATTTATATAACTCACCTGTCTACATTTTATCAAGGCCCAAAGTTACGTATATTTCAGGGCGGGGCTGCTTTGACTGTGTGAAGCGTCGCTACAGTCTATGAGTCAGATCCATCCCTCTCTCCTCCTCCAAACTCAAGGCGTAAAACTAGAGTCCACAATCCAATGAGTGATGTTACTAGGAATAGGTATCGTTAAGATTTTAATGATACTACTACACTTACCGATACTGCTTATCGATCCAGTACTTATCGGTTTGGGAGGGGGTTCAAGAGAATTAATATTGCTTTACTTTCTCTGTATGTAAGTACAGTATATAAATTGACGTTCTGCTACAGCATTGTTTTGAATTCAGTTTCAATTTTCAATTTTATTTAAAAAGCCCAAAATCACAAATTCAAATGGCTTTACAGCAGACGACATCCCTCTGTCCTTGGACCCTCACAGCTGATCAGGAAAAACTCCCCAAAAACCCCTTTAACAAGGAGAAAAAGGAAGAAACCTCAGAAACCTGAACAATTAACTATTATGGTGTGTAACATATCTGAGGTGGACAGGATAATGGGAGACAAACTACGAGCTAGGCGGTTGAACACGGTGTATTTCCCCGTCTGTATGTCATGTACTCTTGCTAGATGTTTTTCGAAAGATTGCTCATGTTTCTGCCCTCACATGCACAGGAGTTGTCAAGTGTGTGACACAGTGGCAGCACTGGCCCCGCCCCTCGCACATGCAGCAGGCAGAGCAAAAATGCATCAGTGACGAATGTCTTCATCTTATTGCAAATTACAAATGGAGTTGTGGAGATAAAAACTGTACAAGATAATGTTTATGTAACCTAAATAAACAAGAAATATATCTTCTGAGCTTCTCTAATACTGATAGCAGAACCAATAACGTCAGAGCTTATCAATACTACGTCTTTAATAATTCGGTCCCAGGGCCTGTTTAATACCAGGTTTCTGTACCCATCCCTAGTTATGTTTGCTACGTCCATTAATTTTATAGTCTACAGTTGGAGCCTTATTCAGGCAATCATAAAAGCAGATGGTCTTTCTTTTTATACTTTGTGCACATATTTTATTTATTTATTTCTATACTGTCTCAATTTCTTCCAACGACTTTAAATTTGAATTTCTCAGACAGAGGTTGTTTTACAAATGTAAATGAGGGTGATGTACAACCACAGGCTTTAAATTTCTTTCTGACCTTAATTTAAGAAGTTCAACACATAAAATTTGAGCCTATACATGTTCCATCAAAACTCGGGAAAGTTTAAGATAATCAGCACAATGGCCGTCTATATAGATCTGCTGTGAATAAAATATTTAGGTGATTCTGCTCATGTCTCAGAAACTTGAGCTTTGGTTTACATCTCTGAAAGGGAAACAACCTGAAACCTGACAGCAGTGTGCGTGTGTGTGTGTCTATATAACTCACTTCTTCTGCCCTCTCCATCACTCTGACCTGCAGACAGACAGACAGACAGACAGACAGACAACAGGTTTTTTTTGAGTTGGAAATACTGGCTCCAGTTTATATTTGGAACATCCTGATTCTACTGGCAGCCCGAGGGAAACCTGTTTACACTGAGATCTTTATCCTGTGGGCCGTTCAGTCAGTCAGGCCTGAAAAGTCAGTTTAACAAAGAGCAGGTCACCACATCACTTCCAAAATAAAGACGGGGGGGGGGACCCTGAGATCACAGAGTTCCCTCGTCTGACAGACATCGAACCATTTCCACTTCTGTCATTGTGGTTTCAAGAGGCCACATATGAATCAGCTCAAGGCAGACGATAGTAGATGATTGACTTTCCTTTAGTCAAACTTCAACACAAACCCTTCCTACACAGGGCTAGATGAACGAAGCACCTGCAGGGTTGTTTTCAAGCTAGACATATGTAGCGGCTGTTGAGGTAATGTAAAATTTCCAAAAAACTGTGCAATGAAATGCGTCTTCCCCCCAAGCAGAAGAAGATCTATGCGATCAGTACAGTTTTAAGGTGGACATCCAAAATTAGTGTCACCAGTTGAGTATGACCAAATGTTTCTGTTGTGCCACATCAATTTGGCACAGTCTAAAAAGCAGCGCTCCAAACTAATGCCACACTGCAAAAACGGTTTAGAAATGTCCTGTGGAGCATGACAAAAAGCTCAAGGTGTCGACCTGGCTTCTGAATTTCCCAGGTCCCAATCTGCTCAAGGATTCTTGTGATGTGCCGGTACCCCAGATGTCCCCCTAATCCAAGGTGGGGCCTCCTTGGATCGGTCTTGAACCCTTGACACAGGATCTCTGGGAGTGTCCTGCGGTGTCTGGCACCAGTGCATTGGCGGCACATCCATTGAGTCCAGTGGGCTGTGAGGTGGGTTAATGGCACGTGCCACAGATGCTCACTCAGATTGGGATCTGGGGAATTTGGAGGCCAGGTTGACACTTTGAGGTCTTTGTCACATTCCTTGGGCCATTCCTGAGCCATGTTTGCAGTGTGGCATGGTGCATTGTCCTGCTGGGGGGGGGGGGCACTGTCACTGGGGAGTACTGTTGCCATGAGGGGGGGAACTTGGTCTGCAACTGTGTTTGAGTGGGTGGAACATGTCAGATGGTATCCACATGAGTGCCAGAACTAAAGGTTTCCCAGCAGAACATTACACTGGGACAAAATAATCAAGGTTATTCACTTCACCTGTCAGTGGTTTGAATGTTTTGGCTGATCAGTGTATTTATGTACTGGAGAAACAGTTTTTAATTTGAAAACCTAGGAGGATAATTTCATTGAGAACTGGACAAATAGATGGTGTTTGTCTCACATGTTAGACCTGAGTTTTTGATGGCCGATTCCGATTTCATTTTTTTCAAACCACTTTACAGCACACAAGATATTGCAACCAAGGTACAACCAGCTCTTCAATAATCATCTCAAACAAACAAACAAACAAAAACAGTGACACAGGTGAAAAAACATTTTCCTTTTTGCTCAAATATTACTAAATAAGTAAAAAAACATGCATAAACAAAAACATAGATAAATAAAATAATAATTCTTGGTGTAGACCATTTGTGGGTAATTTTTTGAATAGACAAAAAAGTAAAACTATCTCCTGTGGAAAATTCACACAGGTCTTCGGGATGTGCCCGCCAGTAAGCAGTGGACACACACATCTTCGGCACATGGACACACGCCTCATCAGTTTCAAGCGGCACCGTGCAGCGGTGAGAGCTCCGCAGTTAAGTTTAACACGGACAATTAACAACTTTCTCCTTCCCTCTTCTGATGTACGTGCATGAATGATTAAGGTGAGAAGCCGTCCATGTTTCACTTTCTCACATCACCCAAGCTGTGAGTTGCACATGTGCGTGTGTGTGCGCTGCTGATGTTACACCATGTCAATCATTTGACCGGCATTTTAAATCAGCATATTTTAGACTGACCAGCCGGTCACAGGTCATGGCCAATCACGTGAAAACCGGCCCGATTCCGAGCACTGCCGATTAATCGGTGCAAGTCTAGTATGTTTTGATCCAATATCCTAGTTTACAGAATGTCATGTCTTTACTTATCTTCTTATTTATATCCTTATTGTGTCTTATTATTTTCATGTGTTTAATTCTTTCAATTTTTATTCAACTAATTAATTATTTTTTTCTTTTCATGCTTGAGCGCTCTTAATGTTCATCTGATTGTGGATTTTGTTAATGTATGTTCATTTTGTCTTTATAAACCAATAATGAGAATTTAAAAAAACAAAACAAAAACCACAGCAGCAGTTAAATTCCCCGTCATGTTTCTCCTCACACGTCAGTCCAACCGTTGTGTTTCTGAGCAACATGTCGAAGCAGCTCGTGTGTTTCATTCTGACTCTTTGCAGTCACTTGTGAGTGTTTTTGTGTCGGCGTGCTGCCTCACCTGTGCGTCTGTTGCCCTGGGGGGTGAGGGTAGGTCCTCCTGTGGTGAAGGGGTCTCCTGTGGGAGGGTTCATCACACTGGTGTGGAGGGCTGAGTCAGAGTTTGTCCTGAGGGGGCAGAGAACACTCAGTGTTAAGGGATGTAAGGAAAGAGAGAACGGATCAGAGAAGGAAAAAAAAAAGCATCTGAAGAAGTTAAAGGTCAGACGATTCTCCAACACAAGAGTGTGAAACAAACCATCACAACTGGAAATACCAACTGGAGCTGCAGCTAGAAATAAAAGCCAACTGACATGTTTCGCTCCTTCTCACACGAGACCAGGACATTTAATCTCCCAAAATGTTCTCAGACAGTCGTAAGAGACTGAATATATCTGACCTCTTAGATTAGGCTGACGGAAAGCAACTTGTGTGCGCGTTTTGAAATACAACAATTACCTTAAGTGTTTCCGACATCTACCCTGACCCTGAAATAATATGAGAAGATCCAGAACCTACAAATGAGGCTGTTTCTGGTTGGATTCTGCTGCAGAAAATTAACTCTTTGGTCTCCTGAAGTGAGACGATTACTGACATTTCTAAGTTTACATTCAGTGTGTCCTGGTCTTCACATATGTATTAACCTAACAGGAGCTCAGGTAGAGCAGATAAAAGTGAGAGCTTGAGAATGATGAAAGTAATAGGGAGAGACATGGCAGGATAAAACAGACGGGGAAAGACTAATTTAGATTTCAGGAAAGGAATGTGGATTTGTGATGGTTTAAAAAGGCAGAAAAGCTTCAATCTCTAAATCCAGTCAGCCAAACGAAAGGAGAAATAAAACGTTCCCATTTCCCATTTTCACCCACATATTTCTAGTCTGGACAAGACTTCCAATCTCAAGGTGGGAGCCGGAGGACGTCCAGCAGAAGGAAGGAAATAAAGGAAGTAAAGGTAGAGGAAGAGGAGGATGAGGAGGATTCACCTGTTGAGTGCAGTGGTGGGGAGACGAAACAACTGGCTTTTATCCCCGGGGAAGTTTCCGGACCAATTCCTTTTCATGATCGACAAGAACAAAAAGTTATTTTCCTCCACCGAGCAAGAACATCGAAAAAGAGGAGAAAAAATAAACGGGGAAAAAGAAAAAGACGAATGTGGGCTCAGAAAGCAAGCGAAGGAGAAAGACGGAGGCAGTGAGCGAAGAAGAGAGGGAGGCTGGCATGTCACCTGACACCACAGACGTAGCTACTGCAGAGTTTGTGTGTGTGACTGTGTACCAGCATGTAATCAAACAGATAAAACCCCTAATTATCTGCTTATTCACTTAACTGTGGTCTTAATTTAATATCACACGGCATCATGTTACATCATCACAAGCGGTCCTGATGTCCAAAGACAAAAAAGACCTTTATCAAGGGTTGCAAATTAGCAATTTAACCGTCAATAAATTTTGTGTAGTTCATAAAAATCTTAAATTGTGATACAATGTCTTCTTTTGTTTGGAGCAGCAATCCAAACCCCGCAGATATTTATTTTACTGTGATATAAAACGCAGCAAATATCTTTGTATAACTCACAACTCAGAACGTAGTGAACTTAAAAGGATAGTGCACCCAAAAATGAAAATTCAGCCATTATCTACTCACCCATATGCCAAGGGAGGCTCAGGTGAAGTTTTAGAGGCCTCACATATGGGGCCATTATGGTAGCTAAATAGCTGCAAATGAGTATCTCAATCTGTGTGTGCGTAATCAGATTTGTACATGTGTAAAATAATTTGTAAAAGCGTAATAAAGTTTGTGAATGAGTACAAAAATCTGCAAATATGTATTTAGAATCTGTGTATGCGTAATCAGATATGTAAATGTGTAAAAAAATCTACAAATCTGTAATCAGATTTGCAAGTGTATTAAGATCTGTAAATGTGTACAACGATCTGTAAATGTGTACAACAATCTGTAAATGTGTACAACGATCTGTAAATCTGTACACAGATCTGCAAATGTGTACAGAGATCTGTAAATCTGTACAACGATCTGTAAATCTGTACACAGATCTGCAAATGCGTACAGAGATCTGTAAATATGTAGACAGATTTGTAAATACCTATGTCTTCAGCTTTGACTCAGTTGGGCCTCTCAATTGGCTCTCTTTGTACACGTGATTTTTGCTACTCTTCTGCCGTGTGAGATCCGCAAATGCGTGAGAAGATTTGTGTCTGTAACTGGAAGTGTGCCTCACCCTGAGCACAGGCTGACAGGCTCAAGCTGCAGCGACCTTCAGATTGTTTTGCCCTGAGCACAGGCTCACGGGCGCTACTTTGCTGCGCTGTTTTGTTGCTTTATGGACAGAAAGTGACTGGAATAATGCTATCACTGGAAGGAAGTACTATAGTGTTCAAAGGTATGTTGGTGATGCAAGACCAACAACTAGATCAACTCAAGAGGAAGACATTATCTCTAGGATGAGATTTGGGCATACTGGTTTAGGCAGTACTTTACTTATTTTAAAGAAACATGCTGATGGTAAATGTAGTGTATGTAATACTGCTGAGACTGTAGAGCATGTTATTGAGTACTGCTCCAAATTTGACCAGAAGAGACAGCAACTCATTCAGGAGCTGGAGTCAGAAAGTGTGACTTTAAACATAAAGACTATCCTCCAGAAAAATTCAGGCGAGGTTTGCTTCAAGTTTTTGTTTTATTTCTTGAGTAGAACTGGTCTGATCAGAAGATTTTTTTTGTTGTTGTTTTTTTTTTTTGTGAATATTAATTTATCCAGACCCACACTCCATTTTGGTAGGTGGCGGTAATGCTTCCATGCGTTGTTTGCCAACCGCCATAAAACTAGAAGAAGAAGAAGAAGAAGCAGCTGTACGGACAGGCTGCATCCTTGGAGGCCCCATAAATGTCTTCCTCTTGAGTTGATCTAGTTGTTGGTCTTGCATCACCAACATACTTTTGAACACTATAGTACTTCCTTCTAGTGATAGCATTATTCCAGTCACTTTCTGTCCATAAAGCAACAAAACAGCGCAGCAAAGTAGCGCCTGTGAGCCTGTGCTCAGGGCAAAACAATCTGAAGGTCGCTGCAGCTTGAGCCTGTCAGCCTGTGCTCAGGGTGAGGCACACTTCCAGTTACAGACACAAATCTTCTCACGCATTTGCGGATCTCACACGGCAGAAGAGTAGCAAAAATCACGTGTACAAAGAGAGCCAATTGAGAGGCCCGACTGAGTCAAAGCTACATAGTTACAGATCTCTGTATGCATTTACAGATCGTTGTACAGATTTACAGATCGTTGTACACATTTACAGATCGTTGTACACATTTACAGATTGCAATACACTTGCAAATCTGAATACAGATTTGTAGATTTTTTTTACATTTACATATCTGATTACGCACACACAGATTCTAAATACACATTTGCAGATTTTTGTACGCATTCACAAACTTTATCACGCTTTTACAAATTATTTTACACATGTACAAATCTGATTACGCACACAGATTGAGATACGCATTTTCAGCTACACTGCCTGGCCAAAAAAAAAAGTCACCACCAAAAAAAAGGTCATACACTCTAATATTTCGTTGGACCGCCGTCTTTAGCTTTGATTACGGCACACATTCGCTGTGGCATTGTTTCGATAAGCTTCTGCAATGTCACAAGATTTATTTCCATCCAGTGTTGCATTAATTTTTCACCAAGATCTTGCATTGATGATGGTAGAGTCTGACCGCTGCGCAAAGCCTTCTCCAGCACATCCCAAAGATTCTCAATGGGGTTAAGGTCTGGACTCTGTGGTGGCCAATCCATGTGTGAAAATGATGTCTCATTCTCCCTGAACCAGTCTTTCACAATTTGAGCCCGATGAATCCTGGCATTGTCATCTTGGAATATGCCCGTACCATCAGGGAAGAAAAAATCCATTGATGGAATAACCTGGTCATTCAGTATATTCAGGTAGTCAGCTGACCTCATTCTTTGAGCACATACTGTTGCTGAACCTGGACCTGACCAACTGCAGCAACCCCAGATCATAACACTGCCCCCACAGGCTTGTACAATAGGCACTAAGCATGATGGGTGCATCACTTCATCTGCCTCTCTTCTTACCCTGATGCGCCCATCACTCTGGAACAGGGTAAATCTGGACTCATCAGACCACATGACCTTCTTCCATTGCTCCAGAGTCCAATCTTTATGCTCCCTAGCAAACTGAAGCCTTTTTTTCCGGTTAGCCTCACTGATTAGTGGTTTTCTTAAGGCTACACAGCTGTTCAGTCCCAATCCCTTGAGTTCCCTTCGCATTGTGCGTGTGGAAATGCTCTTACTTTCACTATTAAACATAGCCCTGAGTTCTACTGTTGTTTTTCTTCAATTTGATCTCACCAAACGTTTAAGTGATCGCCGATCACGATCATTGAGGATTTTTTTCCGGCCACATTTCTTCCTCGAAGACGATGGGTCCCCACTATCCTTCCAGTTTTTAATAATGCGTTGGACAGTTCTTAACCCAATTTTAGTAGTTTCTGCAATCTCCTTGGATGTTTTCTCTGCTTGATGCATGCCAATGATTTGACCCTTCTCAAACAGACTAACATCTTTTCCACGACCACGGGATGTGTCTTTCGACATGGTTGTTTAGGAAATGAGAAGCAACTCATTGCACCAGTTGGGGTTAAATAACTTGTTACCAGCTGAAAGATAATCGCCCATGCAGTAATTATCCAATAGGAGGCTCGTACCTATTTGCTTAGTTAAATCCAGGTGGCGACTTTTTTTTTGGCCAGGCAGTGTATTTAAGCTACCATAATGGCCCCATACTCACATCACTTGCGGAGATCCAAGGGGAGAGGAGGTAGCAACACAACTCCACCTAATGGAAGCTGACGGCGCCCCAGATTCAAACGCCCAAAAACAAAGGTGGAGTTGTGTTGCTACCTCCTCTCCCCTTGGATCTCCGCAAGTGATGTGAGGACTCTAAAACTTCACCTGAGCCTCCCTCGGCATATGGGTGAGTAGATAATGGCTGAATTTTCATTTTTGGGTGCACTATCCCTTTAATTCAGTTAAAGGACAAAACCCTTACTGTGTTGTATGCAGTGAGCGTGCAGCTGAAATCTATTTTTTTCTCGGTTTATTTTACACCTTTAAGCAAAGCAGAGGATTTATTGCCCTGCTGTTTATATTCACCATTTATATGTCTCTTATCCAGGGCCTGGTTGCAGTTTGCTAGTTCACACATAATGTTGTAAAAAGTGCCTGAAAGGCCTTGAAAATTCTCAATTAATTCTACTATAAATTCTTATAAAGTGGGACTTCAGTTTACAGTGCAAAGAGTGACAGACCTTTTTATATCATTTTATAACTGTATCTTATTTTATTAAATTTTAGTAAGAAGCAACCCTGTTTTCTTATCTGCTCCTGTTTTAATTTGGGGTTAAAGGTGGGCCCATTATTATAAATCATGTATTTTGATGTCATTCTATAGCTTCTCAGTAGTGCTCCTTCTGTATTCAAATCCAAACATTTTTGTTAAAGTTTTTTAGCATCAAAATTATATTATCCCAAGCCCTTCCAAAAACGTTCATCTACTTGACCTGATGTAGGTTTCTGCATGATGACATCACTACATATACACCCCCTGGCACACCTATAGACTTCTATGTGACTGAACCGTCCCTTCTTTCAGCCTCCCTAAAGCTGAAAACACATCAGTGCTGCCGCAGCGTGTTGCATCATGTGATGCGTGCGCCGCCCCCTAGCACACACTGGACGCATCGTGCTGCAGCTCGTCAACAGACAACCACGCAAAGTTATTACTACTTTTGCTGAAAAATTTGAACTTCCTCCACCTCTGTGTTAGCTTAAAATCACATGTGGCCAGCCCCTAATAAAAGTTGAAGAGCAGACCCTCAGAGCTGTGACTCACCAGGCAACATCTTATTGGCCATTGTCTTTATAACGACGGGACTGTGGGTCGTTTAGCTCAGGATATTTCTCAACCTCAACCACAAGTCTCTCCTCATCCATTCTTCGTCACA